GGAATTTTATAATGATAAATTGAACAAAAAGTAACGCCGTCAGAGGGATTTGTAACGGCGTTAACGTAGCAGGGAGAGTGTGCATGCAAAAGTATATTACAAGGGGGTATGTCGCAATTTTTAAAATACAGGGGGAAAACGCGCAGATTTAGTATATTACAGGGGGTTTGGTGCAATTTACCCCTTCCTCGGTCAACAACCTGAGAAATCCGAGGAATACACCATTAACCTGAGCACAAAAACTAGCACTATTCACAGCCCACAAAAAAAACTAACCACTGCCACCAAAAGCCTAGCTAATCTTCAAAATACTAAGCAAAACAACAAACTACAAACTATCCAAAGGACCCTGCTACACTATTAACATTAGAGAATTCAATCCAAGGTTTGAAGATTGTTTATAATATATAATATATTATACATACAAAACAAATAAAAAATTATATATTAATTAAACCGGTTCGACCACTAATATATTATACATATAAAATAAATAAAAAATTATATATTAATTAAACCAATTCGACCACTGGTCCGACCAGTGAACCATTGAACCTGTAGTTTCACCGATTTGATGACGATTCGATTTTCATAACCTTAATATATACACATGCGTATGGATACATACGTATGCGAGATATAAATAATATAAGTACACACATACATTTGCATAATGTAACTGATGTTTCGATCGTTTAGAAAACCACCAGTCCACCAAATTGAGGAAGAATTGTTAAACAACAACGAATTAAAGAGCACAATAATTCTTAAACAATGAATCTAGGTACATTTCTGCTTTATTTGTTTTATTCTTAATATTTGACATAAATGGTTTTGAGAATTAATTAATTTCCTTCTGTGCTTATATACGAACACTGACTCAATTTATTTAATAAACGAGCTAGGAAAATGGTATTCAAATAACTCATTGATTAATGAAAATATGGTCGCAAGTATTTTTTTTAGGCTCTTTTACATGATTACTGAAAATTTCAAAAAAAATTTGTAAAAGTACGACATTCAAAACTAAATCGTACATTGACCATTCATGAGAACAAGTCATAAACAAAAAAAAAAAGATATAATTTAGAACTTAATAATAAAAATAAATCACAAGTTAACTATTTGTAAACAAAAAAACGATATAATTTAGAACTTAATAATAAAAATAAATCACAAGTTAACTATTTGTAAACATTAAAAAGTGAATCGCTATTTACCGCCCCCTTTTACTAGTCACCGCCCCCTCAATTTCGGTTTTGAAAAATTAGTGTTTAAAAGGTACACGTGAATTGCACAAGTTTTGTCGATTTTTTTGAGGAAATACTAACACATTTAAATTATATTTGACTTTTTTACCTCTTATATATTTATATATTACACTTTTTGACCTCTTATATATTTATTTTTAAAATTACTAAAGAAGCTTCAAATATTTTCATTTATACCTAAAATTCTAATTTCCATATTGTTTTCAATCAATTCCATCGCCATAAGATTTTCTTTCATTCGATATCAAGTAGAAAACCCTCATCGCACGCCCGTTACATCTGATTTTTCTCTTCAACATAAGTATATCATATATCATCGATGGTCGCCAATATTTCGAGCAAATCTTCAATCGCTTAAATCCCATCGATTGGATTATTTTTATTTTTTTTAAAAGAAGAGATTCTCTGTACGATCATCGCACATCTCACCTCCTTCCTCGTCAGCCTTCACCGGCCTGAGAAAATCGTCGTGCGGGAGCAGCAACTCAAGGCTCGATCCGGATCCAAGCATGGCGGAGGCAACTACCCGTCCGACTCCGCCTTCAATTTCTCCGGCGACGACTCGTTCGCCACCATGGCTGCCGACGAGGACGCCTCCTTCCGCCAACGATAGTATATGTTCATTCTTTTTCTTAGTAGTCGAAGCACTTCACGCGTTTACACAAGATGAGTATGAGCACACGCAAGTTTGCGCTATGTTGTTGGGTTTTGGAGGCCTTGTTTTATTCTGGATTTGTGCAATTCGTTTGTATAGGTAGTGGATTTTTGTCAGTTGTCACAACAAATACCTAATAATTTTACCTATATTGCTACTTACACAAAGTTTCTGAGTGAAAGTGTTGGTATACTGAGTATATCCGAAGTAAATTTCCTCTGGTTATATGTTTAATAATTCCTTTTTTTCTTGGGTTATATGTTGGGAATATCCGAGTATATCCAAAATAATTTTTCTCTGGTTATCTGGTAGGTATATCCGAGGTAACTTTTCTCTTTATCCGAAGTATCTTTTCTCTTTCTATGCTATACACTTTGTCACTGACTTTCTGCACCTATTACACATTTTTAGTATATTTGAAGTATATTTTTAGTGTATGTCAGGTAATAATTCCCCCCCAAAATTTCGGTATATTAGAAGACATAATTTTTTGGTATAAAATTTCACGTCCTCGTTTTTTTGGGTATATTTTTGCGGATATTTCTAGTTAAAAAAAAAAAAATTATTGTTCAGTATATGTTGTGTGTATATGAAGTACATGCTCAATATATGTTCAACATATCATAAGATTTGTTTGTATATGGAATATAAATAAATGTTATAATATGTTTCTATATACTTCTATGTATAAAAGTAAAAAAAAAAAAAAATTGTGGAAGACTTATGTTTTATTGCACATATACTGAATATGTACTAACATAAACTCAAAATATACCACCTGACGGCTGCGTGAATTATAATATTGCAACATACACTTAATATATAATAACATAAACTCAAAATATACTACATGGTGGCTGCTTGAATTACAAAACAAGTGGCGTGAATTAAAGAATTAATAAATGAATCAGTTATTATTTTTCTTTTCTCTCTTAATCAAGTCTACAAAAAGGGGGATGGAAGTTGAGTATATATGGTAACTACTATTGATGCAATTTCATAAATAAATTAGCTTAATTAGGTATAACTAAAAATACTTTCATATCAAGGTAAATTTGAAAATATTTGTATATCTTATATTAGTCCCTCTCACCTGCCCACGGTGGGCAGGCCCAGGGGATCAAAATTTTATCTTATATTACCTTATTTTTTCTACATAGGACGGTGGCCAAAGCCCATAGTAAAATGGATAAACCCAGCCCAATTGAATAAAAAATAAATCCTAATTTATATTCTTTTGTCTGTTTTCTTCTTTCTTCCTTAACTCGCGTTTTCTTTGTTTTCTCTGCCCTCTTCTAAATTTGTTTGCAGGTCTTCTTCTTCTTCAAGAAAATGGTAATTATACTCGCCCTATGTGTGATGACGATTATTGTTGTGCATCTTCTTTCGATTTGGAACTATTAAGTTGTGGGAAAGTATCAAAATTAGGGTTTTATGACAATGATTTGTGTGATTTAGCGTACCTTCTTGACATCCTATGACTTTGTATGAATTTGTCTAGGTTTCTGTTAAAACAAAGAAAGGGGAAGGAACGAAATGGTGTTCTGAATCTGAACAGTAATTATGCAGGTTGTCCAGTATTCAACTTTTGTGTTGGGGGATTATTGGTGCTTGTATTTGAGTTACTTTTAGTGTCCTGGACGGACCTTTGTAGGTTTTCTGAAGGTACACCACTCCATGTTAATCCGGAAGTCTTGTTTAGTTTTCGTCAACACTAGTTCTTTTGGAAGGACACTAGGTGAAATGCATCGACCAGAGTGGTTTTTCGAGTACGAATTTTTTTAGTTTTTTCGTTATCTTTGTCAAGATGTGTTAATATTAGCTGGAGTCGGAACGTGTTTTTATTTGGGGGTGTTTTGAAGTGTTTCTGATGATGTGTGGTTTGTTATTCTATTTTCTGTAAAATTAGATATGCGAAAATAGCTATGTTGTTGATGGTGTATTGGTCTACGAACTATATTATGCACGCTAACTAGTTTCCTCTACATTAGATGTTACTATTTCTCCACTAAGTGTTTCCACGATAGTTTACGAATTGATATAAAATGATTATCTTGGAAGCTAGCCTCTTCATTCTCTACTTGTTGTATTGTTCCTTAGCTTTTTTTTTTTTGTTTCTTTTCTGAGCCAATGCCATTTACATATCATACTCAATATTTTCTTCTTTGGTTTCAGGCAACCCTCAATGACTCATTTTTGGCTGATCTTGATGAATTGTCTGATATTGAAGAGCATCTGGTTAGACATTACAGTTTCTTTCCATGTCCGGGTTTTCCTGTTATGCTTGCACTTAAAATAAAATCCTAATTATTCAAATCCTCACTTGTTCTGATGTTTTGCCGATTCTTAATGTACGCTTTTCACGCATCTGTTTTCTTTGTTACTATTTGGCATATGGTCCATGGTTTACCAAATTTACTCACTTTCAGGAAGGAGATGATGACGACGCGGAGCACATGGACGATGATGTTGACGGTGACCTTGCAGACATCGAAGCACTTAATTATGAAGATCTTGACAGTGTCTCCAAGTTACAGAAAACTCAACGATACATTAACATAATGCAGGTCGATTGAGTTCAAAACAACTATATCTTATTCCACATCTTGTTTCATTAGATAAATTGCTTAACGCCTAATCATGTTTGCCTTCCACTCCTAGGGTGAATTTACTGTTGCATGTCCCTTGTGTTATTCAGCTGGTCTTTCCTTTCTTTAGGGTCGTGATACAAAAATCCCTCTTGTACCCCTGCGCTTATTATTTTTGTTACATAATGCTCCCTACCTTTTCTCCATGCAGAGAGTCGAGCACGCCCTGGAAAAGGGACCTGACAGCTCATCTCATGGGGCTTTTCTAGAAGATGACCCAGAGTACCTCTTGATCGTTGACTGCAATGCCCTGATGGTCGACATTGACAATGAGATAGCGGTCGTCCACAATTTCATCCGGGACAAGTACCGCCTCAAGTTTCCCGAGCTTGAGTCTCTGGTGCCCCATCCCATTGACTACGCCCGGCTGGTCAAGAAGATTGGTAACGAGATGGATCTCACGCTGGTCGACCTCGAGGGCCTTCTCCCCTCCGCCACTATCATGGTGGTGTCCGTCACGGCCTCTACCACAAGCGGAAAGCCACTCCCGGATGATGTCCTCCGGAAGACGACTGATGCCTGTGACCGGGCACTCTCCCTGGACGCTGCCAAGATGAAGCTTCTGGACTTTGTGGAGAGCAGGATTGGGTATATTGCGCCCAACCTCTCAGCCGTGGTCGGTGGGACCGTGGCAGCCAAACTCATGGGGACGGCTGGCGGCCTGACAGCGCTGGCAAAGATGCCTGCCTGCAACGTGCAGCTACTTGGGGCCAAGAGGAAGAATCTGGCCGGGTTCTCGACTGCCACATCTCAGTTCCGAGTGGGATATTTGGACCAGACAGAGATTTTCAACGCTACGCCTGAAGCCCTAAAAATGCGTGTCTGCCGGCTGCTGGCTGCCAAGTCGACTCTGGCTGCTCGGGTGGACTCAACGAAGGGGGACCTGACGGGAGGGACTGGGAGAGCTTTCCGGGCAGAGATTCACAAGAAAATTGAGAAGTGGCAGGAGCCGCCGCCAGCCAAGCAGCCCAAGCCTCTTCCAGTGCCCGACTCGGAGCCCAAGAAGAAGCGGGGCGGTCGGAGGTTGAGGAAGATGAAAGAGAGGTCCTTGGGATTTATTCGGTTCACTTGTTCTGCTTGAGTTTGAATCTTCTTTTATTCTTATTGTTTGGTAGAGTGAAAAGATGTGTTGTTTTGGATGTTTTTCAGGTATGCTATCACGGACATGAGGAAGCTCGCAAATAGAATGCAGTTTGGAGTGCCAGAAGAGAGCTCTTTAGGTTTTTTTTTTTATTTGTTTTCTTTTGACTGATGTTTTCTTCTTGTGGTGAGCATGTGGCCTCTGGTACCTTTCACTTGGATAACTCTTTCTGGGAGTCCTCTTTTGTTTTCCCAAGGTTTTTTACACGTGGGGGTTTTAAAACTAGGAAAGTTCTATCGAGGCCTTAATATCAGCAAGCTGATTTGTCTTGTAATCATTACTTAAGCTAACATATTGATTTATTTGTATTTTAGTTAGTCATTGATTTAAATCTTTATTATTTCTAAATATGTTTTTATTTGTTCTTCAAGGTGATGGGCTAGGGGAAGGATATGGAATGCTTGGTCAAGCTGGAAATGGGAAGTTGCGTGTATCAGTTGGTCAGAGCAGGCTTGCTGCTAAAGTTGCCAAGAAGTATAATAAGTTCTTCGCCTTGCTTATCCATTTTCTGATAAAGATTCAATTCACTTTTGATGATAACCAATCAAAAATACTTAACCTTTGGAACTTCCACAATTTCTTGTGTAAGGCAGTCCTAACCGTTTGGCGGGTCAACTCATACTATTTGAACAAAATGCACTCTTATATTATCGACTGTCATACTTCTATTTATGTTGTTTTTGAAAGTATGACATTTTTTAGTGAAAATATGCATATTTGTAAAAATAGTGTGTCAGATCCTCCTAACAGAAGACCAACCCAACCGTGGAAGTACACTATAGCTCTAGCTATATCATGAGATTTTTCCACTATTTTTTCCCCTACACAAGTGTGGATCGAAAATTTGTCCTTATGTCTTGATTGTTGCCATCTGTATTTATCCTGTCACAGATTTCATTGATTCATTTACTGACTGGAATTGGATTTTCAGATACAAGGACAGAAATTATGGAATCAGTGGTGCAACTTCTGGATTGACATCGAGCCTGGCTTTCACGCCAGTGCAGGTTTGCTACTATTCCTTCACATTGTTGTGGCTAGTTATCAAAACATTATTGGATATAAGAATTTTCATATTTGTTTGTTCGATCAAAATTTATCTCATTGAAACTGAAAATGGAACAAAAGAGTTTTCATCTCACTTGTTTTTTATTTCATTCCCAGTTTTTTTCTCTACAATCCCACTAGCACAATTAATAAATCAAAACTAATCATTATTGTTTATTTTCAATCACATCATAATTATAACTACCTGAACAAGTCTTATATGAATCTAACATATTATTATTTTCATATCACACCAACTCCAGTCATTCCATTTTTATCTCATATCCATTCACATTCTCAAATCCATCTCACTTTTCCTAAAAACAAATTACTTCACGTTTCCACCTCACTTCTTCCGGACGAGATACAATTTCTCATAAAAGATCATATCCAATTGTACTCGTCAAGAAAAACTTACTAAACATGATGATGTAGCTTAGTTTTTGGAGTCGTGTTGTAGGGAATGTTAGGACACTCCAGAAAATATGTTACTTTCCGTTCTATTTGGAAAAATTTCAAATACAAATTCTGGCTTCTTAGATTTTGCTCTCACCTTTTTTTTTTTTTTTTTTTTTTTTTTTTTTTTTGTGTGTGTGTGGAAGATCTCACCTACTATTAATGTAGTTTGCACACCCCTAGAGTGCTTTTCATTCGTTATTTTGTTGGTATTTTTCTTTATCTTTGCTCCAGTACTATTGTTTAATGGAATATGCTTTTTCAGGGGATCGAGCTTTCAAATCCCCAGGCAAATCAGCTTGGTGGTGGAACAAGCACGTACTTTTCAGAGACGGGAACTTTTTCTAAAATCAAGAGAATGTGACCAACGACAATCCGTCTGAGAGCTGAGTCGCCCGAGTGTGAGAGTAAATTTGATCAATTTTATCTTCTTTTCGTCAGTCATTTTACTGTTGTGAGTTGTAAATTGGTGACATTTTCATCATTTCTCATGGATTTTAGTGGGAAGATAGTCATCCCCGCCATCATAGAATGTTTTAGATCAAGAATAAATGCAACTAGTACAATACCCGAGTACAACACGGGTGTTGAGTTAAGAAATATATGATAAAAATTATTTATGTTTAATACCAAACCAAACTTTAGAGCAAAAATAATTTAAAAACAACATCATGAAGCATAGATTTTCTCATGTTAGTATTCGAAGCGCGAGAATCTGTCACTTAGTATATAAGAAGGAATGTCTCTTGAATTAATTTGCCATTGTGGAAGTACAACTTGTTATAGAATATTAAAATGTGAAAGATGAACTTGACCTTTGAAGAACATTATGATGTATTCATTTCCCATCAAAATTTAGTGCCCCAAATCGTTGCATTGTGGACATTTGAACCCCATGTGCTAAAGTGATAACTTTCTATGAACATTATGATGTACTTATTTCATATCATTTTTTTTTTCATTACCCACCAAAATGTAGCGACTCAAAACGTTGTATTATGTAGTCATGGCTGCGGGCCGGCCCAACTCTCCGGTTCGATCTGGCTCGTGGCCAATGGGCCCAGATTGAGCCCGTAGTTGATCGGACTGGTTTTGGGCCTTCATGTATCTTGTTTTGCTCGAAAAAGGGCTGTGTTGTGCCCAGCCATGGAGATGACCTGCCATTTTTTTCATTTTTTTTTTTTTTGCCTCGGACATGGCCGGGCTCGGCCAGAACAGTTGGCAGCCCGGTGAATCTTGACAGTTGAAAGCTTTTGACCGTTGAAATTCGATGATTTGTTTTTTTATTTTTTTTTCTAATATTGATTTCGATCTGGGTGCGGGTCAGACCCGCCTCGCCCGGTTCCATAACGATCGGCCAAACAGTCACATTTTCAAATTTGGTTGTTGGATCATCTTGATCGTTGAGATCCAACGGTCAAGATTCGATCGACCGACTAACCTGCCAGATTGACCCCAACCCCGACTAGTCCTGAAAATTAAATAAAAAATTGAAAAAATCGCAAAAATTCAGAAAAAACCCATTTTTTTTAAATACCCCCATCTCCTCAAATAAGATTTTCACACATTTTACAACATCTTCCTCTTCCCTACCCTTTTTTATGCTCTTGAAGTGCTAATTTTAATTTGTTGTGCTCGGTTTTTATAAATCGGTCGGCTTTTATATGAATTCGGTCTCGAACTCCCGATTCTATATATTGACTCTCATTTCGATTCCAATTCTATAAATTCTTTATATACTACTCTTTTCTAATTCTATCATTCTTTTGCCTCTCTTTTTTATTTTATAAAAACTATTCTAGTTATAAAATGTCGAGTTCTTGTGGTGGTCGTGTCGGTGATCGGCCACCACAAAAGCGTAAATATTTAGGACAATTTTCTTCGAGTAGACTTCCATTGCTGACGTTGAGACAAATGGTATATCGGGACGTTTCGAGTCTTTCCGATGACATTGAGTCCGAGACGGTCCAACCCATCTTTCACTTTATTGAGGGAATCGACATGAGCATACAATTAGAGGAGGAGAACCAAGAGCAGCCATATGAAGACGAGTTCGATCCTACTCAAAGCTCTTTCACTTTATTGAGGGAATCGACATGAGCATACAATTAGAGGAGGAGAACCAAGAGCAGCCATATGAAGACGAGTTCGATCATACTCAAAGCGGAGGAGCTCAACAACCTCAACGGACTCGGACGACCGACAGAGAGATGAAATAAAAAATATTCGCACACCACTTCAATGAGAAAAAAATGACAAACATTATATATGTATTTGGAACCATTCCAGGAAGCACGCTTTCAAAACTGACGATAGGTACGCAACATTGACACGACACATACAACGTCATCATCCAGCCGAAATGGAGATTCTAGCAAGCCAAAAGCAATTCCCGGGCGTGAGTAGCCATGCATCCACATGTATGTCTTCTACGTTATTCCAATACTCTCATAAAAACCATCGAAAATAACTAGCTGAGTTTGTTTGTGGTTAGTCTCTTCCTTTCAATTTTGGTGATTCTGGTTTATATGAAAATTTTACTTAAATGATTTTACACCCGAGTGCGTCTCGAGTTCCACGTACTACTCTCACTCGTGATATTAAAAAAATTGTGACAGAAAAAAAAAAACTAAATTTGGAGCAAACATTTGAAGCTTTAAACCAAAAAAATTTTATTTGTTTTGACATTTGGTCCGACCACTGGGAATATAATTTTTACACAGGAATTACTTTTTATTGGGTAGATGATAGTTTTACATTACAAAAACGTCTATTTGCTTATACTGGATTTCCTAATACTCACTACATTTAATATCGCTCGTTTAATTTAATGTGTCGTGAATAGTTATAGAATTGGTAATTTTTTTTCATTTCTTTTGATAATGCAAGTGCTAATATTGCATCGATATCTGAGCTTAAGGTGTCATCTCCTTTGTGGGGAATTTTTTTTTTCACATTCGATGTATGTTTCATGTCCTTAATTTTTGTGTTCAAGTGGGTTATCGTTCTTTGAAAGAGATAGTCACACCCATTAAGAATGTCGTTATTTATTTACATAAATGTTCGCAAGCAATGGAAAAAATGGAGAAAGTATTGTAAAGAGCTAGGTTTTACATCTAAAAATTTCCAACCGGACGTTCCTACCCGTTGGAACTCAACTTATAAAATGTTATTGAAAACATATGCATTTTCTCATCAATTTGATGAATTTTTCGTAGTCCTCAACGTAAAGATGACTGAGAAGTCACCGTTACCACCTAAGATTGGGTAAACTGTCACATACTTATGCAATATTTAGAAAAAAATCAAGATGTTACTAACATACTTTATGGTGTTTACTATCCTATTGCTCAACTTATTGTAAGTCAATGTTTAGCTGTAATGTGGGGTTTTAGATATATGTTTACTAGTGATCTTGACTTACATCGCGAACTTGCAAGAGGTTTTTTTTTTAAAAAATGGTTTAAATATTATTTTTTTTATTCCCGATACATTTTTAGTTACACTTTGTTAGTATATTATTACGTAAAAATGGATTGCCCAACCAACTTAACACACATTATGGTATTATATATCAACTCCCACTTTCCAATTACATTGATGTCCCGGCTATCAGTGTAAGACATAGTCCACGACAACTCGTCGAGCAAGCCAAACTTTTATTCTATGAATTGTTTAGGGAAACAACCGGACTCACAGATAATCCAACGTAATTTTTTTTTTCAATTGCTTCGAGGTCTTCTTCTTATGGGCAATGGGGACAGACAACACAACTAGCCCAAAACTTTGATGACTGGTGGGATGACTTTAATCCCTACAAAAATTCTAACATCCAAAGGCCAAAAAAGACTGGATACAGTGAGCTCGATCACTACCTCACGACGAATTTGATACTTATGATTGCTCTTGAACCAATTCCGCCACAAAAATTTGATGTCTTGATTGGTGGTCAAAGATGACTTCTATTTATCCAATTCCATGCTTAATGACCAAGAAGACTTTCGTTGTCCCAGCATCCACAATGACGGTTGAAAAAGCATTCAGCGAGGGAGGATATACACTGGATGCACGACGATCGAGGTCGACATCACAAAACTTGGCTATTCAAATGCTCCTGAGTGACTGGAAAAAGGCTGAAATGAGGGCACAAAAGACCATGCTAACTGTCGAAGATGACAGAGATGATTAGACATCTGATTTTACTGCTAATACTAGTGGAATCACCAAAAATGAAGAGGACTATGACGCATACGACTACGAGGATTAAACAGTCGGCTCAATCCTGCCTGCCATCTACTTTTATCAATGAAGTATAGTAAGAAAGCTACGAGGACTTTGATTCTCGAGGTAAGGGATACACATGCAAGTTAGTCAACATTTTACAAGTTAAAATATCATTTTGTAACCCAAAGGATTTTTCAACTTAACTGAACACCCCCTCCCTTCTCATTGTTTTCTAAATAAAAATCAGCTCCGGCCGAAACCGAAGCCGGTTGAACCGTCCTGAACCCTCGAGCCGGTGAAACGGCCCCTACCTACATCCGAATATGCTATGGGTACGTGTTTTCAGACTCGATGACTCGCGGGCCGGGTCGGGTCCCCAGCCAAATGGCCATGACTAGTATTGTGGACATTTGCATCCATATGCTGAAATAACAAATTATCGCATGTATCATCTATCTATACGATTATAAAACATAAAAGGTGATTCCGTAAAAAAATTGTGCAAACTGAAAAGTTTTTATGTTTGATATATTGTTAATGACAAAATAGCACATACAATAATTAAGTATTTCAATAGAATAAGAGTGTCAGGTTCTGTGAGTAATATCGACTATCGTGCTCTAAATCGATTGAGAATCTAAGAAATGAATCCTACGCGTAGCGGATTCGAAACTTACAGTTTAAAATTTTGTCGACTATGCACAAACATACACGGCCTACGGGGCTGGACGAACAATTTTGAGACGATCTCTTATCTCTTCCTCCTCATCACCTTCGGTCATGCGTCTCACGATTTTTGAGTCGTCTCTCGCATCGCCTTGGGCATCGCACCATTGTTATTGGTCAATTTATGTCGCCTAAGACTACTTGAGGTGATTTGAGCTCTCCATGGCTCGCCTGGTGCATGCTGATGCAGGCGCATGCGCTCTGGTGCCATTCAAAATATTATTTATTATTTTATTCCTAATATATTAATAATAATTCCGTTTGAGTTTATTTTTATTTTTATTGTAAATGAATGTTTTAAGATAATATATAAAAATACTGATGAAGGTGATACATGTATGCTCATATATGAAAACATAAGAGAATAATTAATTTATTACTACAACATAGTCCAAAATAAATATTTTTCATAGTAGTAACTATTTAGAAATTGTTATATGAAATTATACTTTATTTAATAATATTGAAGTGATCCCACATTTGTTTTTTGTGTGTGCGCGCGCGCGCACACACACACATATAATATTTAAAACTCATCATAACTCATAACATTAAATGTGTATAATTATCGAGTAACAAATGATTAATTTGATATATCATATATGATATAGCACATAAGAATAGTTCGGTAAAATCGGTCGCAGTCTAGCTTGGTTGGCGAGTGGGGATAAACTAGGGTGGCGGTTTTGGAAGTAGTTTGTCGTAACAGTAGCTCGGTTTAGCAGCTACTCGACATATAAGAGGCGAGTTTGTAGCTCGGTGGAGGAGTTGCTCGACATATAAGAGGCGAGTTTGTAGCTCGTCACAAGAGTAGCTCGGTGTATGCGTTGCTCGATACATAAGAGGCTGGTTAATAGCTCGTCAGAGTAGCTCATATATTATATGGTAGGTAACAGACTTTTAGGGGAGTCTTGGAACCAGGGGTAGAGCTGTAAAGAGCGGTTATATGAGGTGGCCCACAAGGGACACGTGTAAGGCCATGATAAGAAAAGAATAAATGATCTGACGGAGGAAGAACAAAACGTACTAATGAAACTAATAACTGTATACAAATAGGTAAAATGTAAGGTTAATCACTCTATACACTATACTATTCCATACAACTTTCCATAGTCTTTACTGACTTGATCGTCGGAGGTTTAGCGCCGGGAACAACCCCCGACGTCTTTGTAGGTCTCTGGCGAGCAAGCGGTCGATGATCAGTGGAAAGCCGGTTCAAGGTGCAAGAGCACATCGATATATAAAAATATGATAAATACTATTTATTAACTTTTAAATATATTATAGTTTAAGTTGGTTAAATAATTCATAATGTTAGAAGTCCTACAAGACACATGATGTAAGTTTTGATGTACGTCGACTACTCCGAACCAAACAAATAAGATTACGAAGTACTAAATTCCACCGCATAGGACTAAGAAGCACTAGAAGTCAACACGCAGGATTAGGACCTTCGTCAAAACAAAGCTTATTATATTAAGAGGTGGTTAATTTCATATATGAAAATCTGATAACAAATAAAATAGTTATTAACCATTAAATATATTTATAATTTAAGTTCAAAGTAATTCATTATTTTAAAAGTTATAGTAGACATGAATATAAGTTTAGATGGTTTACTCCAAATCAAAGACATACGATATCGTATAATAATCGAAACATTCTGTATTAATATATAAAAACATACATAATAGAAAAAAAAAAAAAATCAAAAAGATCTTAAAATTAATACACAATCATTGGAGAAAAAAAATAATAATTAATAAATCGGAATATATCTATTTACAATTGCTACTTTTAGTTAGTGGTCTCCAACCATATAACTTTTTTTTGCCATTTTCAGCTGACGTCCGACATTGTTTCTCACACATAATTGACCCAAGCAAACCCCACAAAAATCGGAAAGATCTTTAAAATAAAATTAATATCCAACAATGGAGTCTGTAATTGCAATTTAGTCCCCACCATCTTTTTTTTAGGGAGATGCTACGGTCTCGTTACGGTACCATCCCGACGGTTGTTTTAACCGTTAGATCTACGTGTAGTTAGATAAGATCGATGATCCAACGGTTAAAACATCCGACGGGATGGTACCGTATCGGGATGGTAGCATTTCCCTTTTTTTTTTTTTTATATTCGTTTTCACTCAGCCCGACACTGACTCTTTCATCGCTATCCGCACTCTTTGCCTGACCTTGCAAAAAAAATCTTCGTAGCTTATCCATTCATTCATCGTCTGTCACGCAAGTACTGCTCTTCCTCTTTGTGTGTGTGTATATATATATATATATATATATATATCTCACTGATCGATCATTTGAAATTTCATCAGAATTTGGTTTAAGAACTCAGACGCTGGTTTTGTGTGTGTGCCGATCAAATTTGGCGCTGTTCAGTTGGCTATGGCAGCTCGAAGAATCTCATCTCTGATTTCTCGCTCCGTCCCTTTGCTCTCTCGTGGAGGTATATGGCGTGGGCTTTATCTGTTACTTCTTTCTTATATACTTGATTGATTGTTGTAGTATCGTATTCCCTTTGCCCTTTGGGAAGGTGTACACAGTTTTTTTCTTTGTAGATTTGATTGAGATGAAGGGGAATTTATGGTATATGCTGTTTACTGATACTCTGCTATCCTCTAAAAGAACCCCATGGATGGGAAGTTATGATGCTTTCGTCCATGGATAATCTGATTTAGATCTTTAGAATTATTATTTATTTTGGCAGCTGGGTGATTATTGGCACTAGAAAAAGAAGAGGATTTTTTTTTTTTTTTAATCTGTTGTCTGTGACGGTGAGCGCAAATTGATGTAAGTTATACTTCATATGGCCGTCTATTTTTGTCTTGATACAGTGATTGCCAAGAATTGTGTTTGTGAAGAACCTCTATTGGATATCATATTTGTACAAGACTTATTTGGTGGTCAAAAAAGTATTTCAATTATTTCCAAAGATATAGTAATCAGGGACGGATCCAGAAATTTATTTTGAGGGGGACAATATACTTTTATCATACATTTAATTTATTTAATGTACATAAAAATAGAAAATTGTATTATACAATAAATATATAATACTAACAATGTAATATATATATATATATTATAAACAGTATTATAAAATAATTATATAATAATAAAATAGTGCAATATAAATTATATATGTTTCGAATCTTCGCAGTAACAAATTTCGATTGAACGTTCTTTCAACTCATGAATTTCACCAACGATTCACTCATACTAATAGTTATGATAATTCTTTTTTACATTAAACATAACTTATATGGCCTTAATTTTCAAATTTACTTATTTATATGTTTTTACGTATTCATCGTACATTCAATTTATTTAAACTAGAAAAAGTATTATGCAAAAGTGTAAAAAGAGTATAATTGTAGTTGAATTATTATTAGATAGAAAAATATAGTTATTATTTAAATATAATTGTATGATTTTATGTAAAAATTGATATATATATACACTAAAAATTTAAAATTTTGGGGGGACAATGGTTCCCCCTATCATATATATAAATCCGTCTCTGATAGTAATGGTAGGATACATGTAAATTGTCATCATAACTCTCCAAGAAAGATGGCTTTTCTGAAAGGCTGTCATTTTTGGTATCACTCTCTGGTCTTTGTGAAAATATATAACCTCTAATCCAGTTATATTGCTGTTGATGAATATTTATAAGACCGTCATTCTGGTATTAGTTTTGTATGCTACTAGTTTGCTTTCCACTCTTTGTGCCATTTACACTCTTGAACTGTATGGCTTTTCTCTTATCATTGCTCTTATTTGTTTTTTTTTTTTTGGAGTTAAAAAGAAATAAAATCTGTTCAAGGTCTGTTCAGTAAGTGGATTCAAATAACTTGCGACCAGTTTTTTCAGTTAAACACACTTGTGCGAGCAGAGGAGTGTCGCGATACAGCACGGCAGCAGCTCTTGAGGATCCAATCAAGGCTCCTGTGAGTGTACAGTATGATAAGCTTCTCATTGGTGGTAAATTTGTTGATGCTGCTTCAGGTGAGCATTTTACTGTTTCCATGTTTCTGCAGAATGTAATTTTTTTATTTTATTTTTGACTGCATGACCTAATTTTCCAACTGATTGTATTCAGGCAAAACCTTCCCAACCTTGGACCCAAGGACCGGTGAGGTAATTGCATATGTCGCTGAAGGTGATGCAGAAGATGTTAATCGAGCAGTGGCCGCTGCACGTAAGGCGTTCGATGAAGGGCCATGGCCTAAGATGACTGCTTATGTAAATATACCTTATCTCATGATTTTTACTATTTTCTGTTCATTCATTTTGGGTTAGTAACAGAAACTACCACTGGCGTTTAGCTTGAACAAGAAAATACTCGAGCTGTCTTCTGAAGTTGCAATTATGCTCTTAAAGTGTTACACGACCTCCTTGAACATGGGGCTATTCCATCAATTTGAGATAAATGCAGTCTTTCATAATTAGACTGAACTTCAGTTGTAGGCTTTGTGACGAATCCCTTTTTGTACTTGTTATAGTGCTTACTTAAACTGTCCAAGTACTGCAGGAGAGACAGAGGATATTGTTGCGGTTTGCTGATCTTGTGGAAAAACATAATGATGAAATTGCCGCACTAGAGACTTGGGATAATGGCAAGCCATACGAACAATCTGCTCAAACAGAAGTGCCTATGTTTGTTAGGCTATTTCGTTATTATGCTGGTGAGTGCTGACTCAGGGAGTTAAAGAATAATTGTTCACAATCCTTCCATTTCTTTTTTAACTTACATTTGTAGCAATTTTGATTCGTATACTGGGCAGGCTGGGCGGATAAGATTCACGGTCTCACTATTCCGGCTGATGGACCCCTTCACGTCCAGACTTTGCACGAGCCTATTGGCGTGGCCGGCCAGATTATCCCGTGGAACTTTCCTCTTCTCATGTTTGCTTGGAAAGTGGGACCTGCATTAGCATGTGGCAACACAATTGTCCTTAAAACGGCTGAGCAGACTCCACTGTCTGCGTTAGTCGTAGCAAAGCTCCTACATGAGGTAATGCTGCACTATAGACGAAATTTGCATGCTTTTTATACTTTTGTGATTTTCACTTGATGTCATTGGTATCAGTGTGAATTAAATGAAACGGAAAATTGCTTCGTTCTCTATTCGGTTTCATCATACTATTGGTAAACAATTTGCAACTGCTTGATGGTTTTCGAATTCTCTCTTTTTTTTTCCTCCCTTTGGAACATAAGATGATGCTTATGTAATATACTTGCCTTTTGATAGACATGCATTTGCGCAGGCTGGCCTTCCTGAGGGTGTTCTGAATATTGTTTCTGGATTTGGTCCAACAGCTGGTGCTGCACTTTGCAGTCATATGGACGTGGACAAGGTAACACAGAGTTCAAAGTTATTACCTTGTTCAGGATTTTGCCATGAGCATGACAAAAGTTCATTATGTGTTCCACGATTTTTTGGTTATTCTATATAAAATTTGTTCAAGCTTTACATCGTACTAACAGTACTCTTCACTTTTCTAAAAAAAAAAAAAAAAAAAAAAATTAATGGTGCCCACATTATGGGCCAGTGATTGTGGAAACGAGCTCAAACCTGTGTATTGTTATGACTTTAATGTTTTTTACATTATATTCAGAACTATAAGAATATTACAATGTTGCTGTTTTTTCCCTTAAGGAAGGAAAATCAGTTTAAGCTATTCAGTAATACCATGGATCTCTATAATATGCACCAGATTCCTCTATACAATTGGTATGAACCTTGGTGACGTCATGCAATAACGTGGTAACTAATCTTAATTAGTAAAACAAAATCATCCTGTAAAGCTTTTCTCAAAAAACTTTCTCGACTTCCAACTTTGTCATATTTTTAAGCTACAGTGAAGGGTCATTACTTTTAATAATTATGGACTTAATTTTATTGAAAGCTAGTATGATTAGAGTACATATTACATACTACTGCATCCTTAATGTGTTCCTGCCTATTGCAGCTTGCTTTCACTGGTTCAACAGACACTGGCAAAGTTGTTCTGGAGCTGGCTGCAAAAAGCAATCTGAAACCAGTTACATTGGAGCTTGGTGGGAAATCACCATTTATTGTTTGTGAGGATGCTGATGTGGACCAAGCTGTTGAGTTGGCTCACTTTGCCCTATTTTTCAATCAGGTATATTCTACTCTCATTGGTCATTAGATTAGTTAATGAATAATTGGCTTTCTCAAGTTTGGAACTGTACTTCAGGGACAATGTTGCTGTGCAGGCTCGAGGACATTTGTACATGAGAAAGTCTATGATGAGTTTTTAGAAAAAGCAAAGGCACGTGCCTTAAAGCGTGCCGTTGGGGACCCTTTCAAGGCAGGGACAGAGCAAGGTCCTCAGGTATAATAGCCTACTTGCTTCTGATATGGCTACTTTTTAACATTATCTACTCATTTCATATATATGATCCACCCAATACATGTCTAGAGGCGTGATTCATGCCTATCTTTTAGGTTTAATTACCAAGTACCCTTGAGGATTGGTGTAATTGCCCCCCCAAAAAAAAGAGAGACCTTATCTTTCCACATTACATCTATCCCCAAGATATTTGTTTTGATTTTACAAAATTAACTCCATTGAGAGGGTATGTTTTTTATGTATATGCAAAATGTTATTGTTATTTCCAAAGAAGTAACTAAGTTAAATTTCAAGCGCTGTCTTGTATTTTTTCCCAACTTTTAGCCCCATATTCTCCCCCTGAACAAAACAATATTTATAAATCAGAAGTTCATGTTCACCATGAAGTAAGATTCTTTTTCTTTTTTTCTTTTGTGATTATTTTGTTTTTAATTCCAATCAACTTGAGTATTATAATTTTGTGCTTTGCAGATTGATGCTGAACAATTTGAAAAGATCCTAAGGTATATCAGATCTGGTCAGGAGTCTGGAGCTAAGCTCGAAACTGGAGGTGATAGACTTGGGACAAAGGGCTATTATGTTCAGCCAACTGTCTTTTCTAATGTCAAGGTATAAATTTCCTGGCTAAAAAATGCATATATTATCTTGCAACTTGTCACAATTTCAAAAGAACACCTCTAGTAATTAATTAAATTGTAAATTTTCAGGATGACATGCTGATAGCTAAGGATGAGATCTTTGGTCCTGTGCAGACTGTCCTGAAATTCAAGTACGTCTCATTTAGCCTTGAAGTTTAGCTCGAGTGAAATTTAGCCAACTTTATTTGTTTCTGTTTACATTGTGCACGTGAAGTGGATGAGTCGCTGTAAATTCAAATTTCGTGTTATTTGGAAAACTAGCTCAAGTCCTTAAGA